CAGCTCCACCACACCACCATGACATTTTTGAGACCAGTGGAGAAATTACAAAGCAAAGTATATACTGGATTATACTATCAAACTTTTATGGACTTTCTAATATGTTGTAATGCTACTGTGATTTTGTGAGTGTGCGTCCTTTCTGGTGTGATATATGCTGAAATCAGGATGGTGTCCTGAGTTTACAGGTTACTCTAAATGTTTGGCAAAAGGAAGTGTGCAGGGACAGGGAGGGAGAAAAAGAGAAGGTACCAAGAGGTTAGTAGAGGGGAACTCATATTATTACAGTATGAAGAATATGAGTGTGAATGTATCAGTGTTCACTGATGAAAACTGTCCCTTCCGGCTTTGGTGTCCCTGCCTTTGGTGCTGCAGCTGTTGCCAGCTCCCTGGGGGCAAGTGTGTGGAGGAGCCGAGGGTGCCTCCGGCGCCATGGGGAGAAAGTCAAGCAAAGCTAAGGAGAAGAAGCAGAAGCGGTTGGAGGAACGTGCAGCCATGGACGCCGTCTGTGCCAAAATGGATGCTGCCAACAGGCTTGGAGCCCTCTGGAGGCTTTCCCAGTACTCAAGAAATACGACAGGAGTGGGTCAAATGTCTCCATTGAATGTAAGCAAGTGTCGGGACTGCAGCCAGCCATTGTGGATTGGGCCTTTGACCTGACCAAAATGAATACGCAAAGCATGTATATGCAAAGTGAGTGGGGCTGGAAAGACTGAGAGAGACGGGAGGAAATGACAGAAGATCCGAGCTTGGTATCTTATCGAGCTTGGTATCTTATCGCGTGGGAAAACAGTTGTGTCTCTTGCCTGTTCTCTTCCGGTTTGATGTGGATTGTGGGGATGAAGTCCTCTACTGTTATGAAGTACAATTGGAAAGCAAAGTGTGGTGGAAAGGCCTAGGGAAGTTCCTCGTACAGATCCTGCAGCTCATGGCCAGCAGCACACAGATGAAAAGGTGAGGTTAACGGTATTTGAGCGCTATCATGGTACCTATCAGTTCTTCCAAGAAGCGCTGCAATTTGAAGTTGATGACCCTTCCCCCAGCATGTCTGGTTGCTGTGGGGAGGACTGCTTCTCTGAGATCCTGAACCGGAAGACCAAGTTTGGGGACAGCCAGCACTCCCACGCGGGCGGGCACTGTGGTGGCTGCTGCCACTGAACTCTTAAAGCCATTTGCAAGTCAGAACTCTCTCCTAAGGCCTGTCCTCTCCTCTCCTCTCCTCTCCTCTCATATTACCTGCCAGATGCTCTCCGAGCTGTGGTCTTCTCAACCTTGCACATGCCAGGTGGCATCCTGAGAGCTCAGAACCCTGGAGTGGAGTGGTTTACACCACCTCTCCTCCTCTTTCCTGGAAGAACAGTGTACCAGGAATGAGTACAGAGAAGAGGGTGCTACAGGAAGAGCTGATGGAGGCTGCACCATGAAGCTCATCCTCACAGAAACTGTCTCCTCACTTGGCCCTTGGGTCTCAAGTGAAAGTTCCTCAAATTCTGTGCAGCTGGATTCCCAACAGGCTCCCCCACCCCTGCTTTGGACAAATGGAATGTTTATGTCCACCTTTGTCAAAGTCCTGGAGTCTTGATCTGGGCTCTGTTGGTCCCCAAAGAGGATTGGACTCTTAAGATCTGGGCACAGAGCAAGGCTTTGAAAAACACCCTCTGGTGGATGGAGCACTGTCATGGAGACCATGTAGGCCTTTGATGCCAGGAGACAGAGAAGCTCTTTCTAGCTGTGTTTTTATGGATCCATAGAGTGGAGTCATCTCAGGGGACTAGCCAACTCTGGGGGGAAGGCTGCCTCTTTCCACTGCTGTCAGTGAGAGAGGACCAGGAACAGGTGTGCTAAGGGGCCTATAGTGGGGGTGACTGCTTCTCTGGGCATTTGGACTTTGCTGCACTCTCAGCTTAACCTCTGGACCTCATGGCAGTGACGTGAGCTTTTCACTCCAGAAGAAAGCCAGAGGTCCTGTCTGTTCCTCACCACTGCCCCCAGCACTCTTCCTCCCCAGCCACTTGCTTTCACTCCGGATACCTCTGTTCTTAGTCTCGGGGTGGGGGGTGGGGGGGAGGCACATCGGGGAAGCCCTCTTCCCCTAGAGGACCCATCGTTCTGGGTACAGGTATGCCATTTCCTCTCACTTTTGGGGGGCTGATAGTTCTCTGAAGGTGGGGCGACCCTCCTACCTCCCTGCCTCTTCCGAGAGCCCCCAGCCAGCAGCAGGCTCCTCTGCCTGTGCTCCCCAGCCTTGCCCTTTGCGGCCTCAATGAGGCACTGGTGCCACTGTCCTGGCCCATTTGGGCCACAGCTCAGGCTTGAGCAAGAATGCCAGTCAGTGGCCCAAACAGCTGCTGTTCTCTCTCTGGTATCATCCTGTGGCAGCAGGCTGCGGCAGGGGCAGGAGATGGGCTTTCTCCTTTCAGAGAGTGAAGAGGGTGTGGGCTCGGAACTTATTCTCATCCTGATCTCTAGGCCTTGTTCCTCTTTCAAGGAAGAAAAACTAAATCCTTATCTAGGTGAAAGTACCGAACACTTCCCCTTGGACATCCCTGAGCTCTGCTTCAGGGAGTGTGGTGAAGATACCAGCCTTTGCGCAGTTGCTGTCATGGGGTCTGTCGGTGACCCGACCTCAGAGCCTGCTCACCCCAACCCTCTGGCCCAACTCAGGCAGTTTGCCCTGGCGGAGCTCTCCGGAATGGTCTTTGCTTCTCACCTAGATTCCTGCCTGTGCAGGAGCCTCTCTTAGCCAGTCTGACCCCCACTGAGCACCCTGCATTGCTCTTGAGTCTGCCAGCAGTGGGCTTGGGCACTTCTTGGAGAGAGCCTCACAGCTTGACACTGGACTAAGTTTAACCTTGCCTCACCTGTTGGGGCCAGGGTTTATACCCTTGATGAGAGTTGGAGTTGCTTGGAGGAGACTGGTAGACTCCTTCCAAGAATCATGAAACAACAGACGCATATTTAGAAAAGCTTTTCCTCTAATCCCCGTCTCAACACAAGAATGATAAATATTTATTGTCTTAGATCATGGATTTCTGATACCTCCCACTCAAGGGGACCAAAAGGAACCCTGTGTAAATCTCATGTAACGTGAGTTCAGTGTGTGTTTTCTTTTTCCAGTTGTTGGACACCGAGTACCAAGCCCATTGGTAGACGGGGTACTGGGTGCCTTTGCAGGCTATCTTCCCTGAAGAGCTCCTCAGGTCACAGCTTGGTGGGAGGAGTGCTGATTGAGACCAGCTGGCCACTCTTGTGGCCCTTGAGGCTACTAATCTGTCAAACATCAGTTTTCCTCCACCTCCTTTGGGTCTTAGTTTGGAGAAAACACTTTTTATACCAGACTTTTTTGTTGTTTTTTTGTTTGGGGCATGTTAAAAAAAATGTTAAGATTTTTTTTCCTAGTTGTATTCTTCCTATTTTAAGTTTTTTTGTTGGTATCAAGTGGGTCTATGACTGGCTAGGCATGGTGGCACATGCCTATAATCACAGTACTCCGGAGGCTGAGGTAGCATTGCTGCAAGTTTGAGGTCATCCTGGGCTACATAATGAGTTCAAGGCCAGCCTGAACTACATAGTGAGACCCTAACTCAAAAAGCTTTAAAAAAAAAGTGCATATATGGGAAAAGAAAGAAAGAAAGAAAACTGTCCCTTCAACTCTTCTGTGGCCAATATATTTTTCAAGAGAAAAAAGTGATTTGATACCAACAACAGATTTCATGCTAAAACTGGATTAGCAGGTTCTATTCCAAGAGTCTAAAGCTTTGTGATATTGGGCTCAGACCCTCAAACTGTAGCATTTACCTAACTGAAGAGGCAGGAGCTGTGCTTTCCAGCCACATCTTTCAGGTCTGACTTAAGTGGGTTCTGCACAAACAGGATAAAGCAAACAAGCTGTTTTTAGCAAACAACAGCAGCTTCTCAGTAAATAGGGCAAATGGACTCAAAATGAAGTATACAACCCCACGGCACCGAGAAGTCTAATGAGTGTGTACACACCTGAGCAGACCGTTCTTGGGCATCCAAGTCATAAATATTTCACCCCAGATTCCTTAGCCCTTTCAATACCTACATAAGCCTAATTCCCTTCCCAGTTAATTGCTAATCTCTCTCCCCTGGTGTTATCCCATCCACTCTCGGATGAAATCTCTCCCAGCTAGCTGCTGCTATCTCTCTCCCAATGTCAGCCCATCCACACACGGATGTGATAAACTCAGCTTTTCCCAGCTAGCTGCTAGAATCTCCAGATTTTTAGTCCCTATTAAACTGGAATAAACTTCTCTTTCAAAAGCCTATTTTTGACAAGTGTATTCTTTTTTTAAAATCATCGTTCCTTTATTCATTAATATGTTGTCAAATAGACAGATGGATTCTTTATGACAACATCTGGCTCAGTTTCTTCACTTATGTTACACTTGCATTTTTAACTCCTGGCTCAGAAACTGTTCAATGAACCATGCTGGAAAATGTCCCTAAACATAAAACCTGAAATGCTCTGCTTTGTTAGCTTCTAAGGATTCAGTGGAAAAAATAAAAATGATGGCTACGTAATATTATTTTACTACTGCTGCTTCTTTTTGTGCCCCAGGCAAATATCTAAGAATAATTTTATGCTTTCTCAAACACAATATACCAGCTCCCTCTGCTGACCCAATCTGGAGGATGATACTGCTTGAATTCCTTTTAAATCTTGAATTTTAAATAACATTTTTGGAGTAGAAAGCCTCAGGCATGGAAGAACTTGCTCACCTACAGTACTTTCTTCTTTTTGAAAGCTCCTGTGATGATTCAAGAGACTAATACAAGAGGTTTGAAGTTTTCAAAAGCAAAGCCGGCCTCACTGGGAAGCCTGTGCTTTGTCGCCCTCTGCAGGCCGCAACGACAAAAGCACTACTTATCACGTGTTTCCCTAACACGTTGGGGCTTTGCCTGAACTCTGACGTTTAGCAGGGTGGGGAGAAAGGGCGGGAGTTATTTACTTCCAATCAGCAAGCTGTACTCGAACTCGTCATGTACCCCTGTCGGGAGATCACGAGAGTATCAAGTTCAGGTTATACACAACTGTATTTCCTTAGAGAGAATACCTCCTGCTGTCACCTGCCTGCCAGGAGAAATGAGTGGTTTTGCTATTAAACTGAAAGCATTTTGATTCTGTTTCTTTGAGAAGTAAGTGCAAGTATCTCCTCTATGCTAACAAGGTAAGTGTCCCGCGCATTTTATAAAGTTGAAATGTTTCCAGAAAATGGCTTTGCACAGAATGAATGTTCTCTCCCTGGAGTCTGAATTCCTTGGAAGGAACGTGATTATCTTCTAGATCCTCTTGTTGGGGTAAAAACAACAGAATTAAGGAAAGAGCTGGGAAGCAAGGGGATATTGTAAGAGAAAAGTTACCTTCATCTGAAAGGAAGATGTTGGTGAGAACAACAGAATCACAGGTCGTCCAGTGATTCTGCATTCACTTCTGATTTCATCTTATGAATGAAATAAGAATACCAGGCACTGGGAAAACCAAAATACTCCACAGATAGTGTGATAGGAAATACTGTAGCAAAATAAGAGCATACTGGGGTAATGATGAGAAACATTAACTGACCAAATTCCAAACTCAAATCATAGTTGATTACAGTACCATCTATGTCTGTGTCTCAAAAACTGATTGCTAGTCAGTTAGGTGAGGGGGTGGAGTTCCTGATGTAAAAAGGGGTGTGGTGGCACATATCTGCAATCCAGGCAACCTTGGACGCTGAGGCAGGAAGGGCAGGATTCAAGCCCACCCTGGGCAATTTAGCAACTTGGCAAGACTTTGTCTCAGATGATAGATAGATAGATAGATAGATAGATAGATAGATAGATAGATAGATCAATCGATCAGTACAATCTCCACGACTCATTAGGACTCCTTCTGCCACGGGACTAGATATAAGCAAACCTTAGGCAACAAAGTACTTCACTATGTGCAGCACCTTATAGTTCACAAAGGCATTGCACCCACCTTACATGCTCCCCACTCTTCAAAACTGTACTATTTCCTCCCATCTTCGAATTCATGATCTCATTTTGTTATGTTTTGTTTGGCATCAATTGCTTGTTCTTTAGTTCCAAAAACAATCATTTCAAGCTAAAAAGGGAAGAAAGGGAAATTTTAACTCTCTATTTTACAAATCTGGAAAAAGCAGCACAGAGAAATGAAAAATTTTGCCCAAGTTTACATTGCTGTTTATAGAAAAGACGCAGAATTCTCCACTTCTAGTTTGCCCCCAACCTTTCCTTGCTAATTTAAAGCATATTTTAATATGGTTGTTCCCATTCAGAGATTCATGGACTATAAATATGGATTAATTTTAAAAGATGCAAATTCCCAATATGTTTCTATATATGTGCCTTTATATTCCTGAGTCTCTGAAAGCCAAGGTCTTTCTTCTCATTCCCTTTTTAATACAACAGCTAAACAGGGCTAAAGTGAGTCTGCAAACATTTGTGCCCAGGGCTGCTGTTGTAGGACTTAACATGTGTGTCCTCTGAGTGTTGGCTTTCTCCATACAGCAGCATCCTTAAGCGATGTCACTGTTTCCTTCATTCTTTTTTTTCCTTACTTCTAAGACCATACTTTTGTTCAGTAGCTGAGTCTTAATCATCTTGGGGGTTCACTTAGAGGTACCCAGCACACATTTGTTGCACGAATTCATTTCCTGCCAGCCTGTTCAGTTCAGCATACACCTTACTTTACTAATGCAAGTAACAACCATTTCTTTCGTGTCGTTACAAAGACCAGCACAGCAGAGATCTGCTGATTCCAGACCTTCACCTAGTGGCTAGAACTTCAAGGATTTTTATCAGGGGAAGCTATTTCTTTCTGGTTAGAAACTGGCTTGACCTCCTACCCCTCAACTCAAGAACACCCACAGGTACCTTGCTATATGTTTCCAATTTGCTGATAAATTTTATCAGTGTGATTGGTCTTTTCTAGGGAGAAGGGAAAGGAGGGAGACAACTAGAAAGGTAAAGAATGAACACTGAGTAAGGATTGTGTGAGCCACTTTTGAGTAAATAATGTCGTCTACTCTTATACAGTCCTTTAACACAGGTATTTTTCTTATGTTACAAATACTATATCTAAGTCTTTCCATAGTTGTCTCAGGATCATAGAACTAGTCAGTAGCAGACACAGAGTTCAAACCCAGTTCTGTTGATTCTAAAGCTCATTCTCCTTCCAGACTCCAGGCTCTCCAAAATAAAAAGACTCCCGGCCTGGGGATTTAGCTCAGTGGTTCCACCACCTGCCTCGCAAGCACAAGGTCCTGAGTTCAATCCCTGCTACCAAAAAAAAAAAAAGGACTCTCAAATAAACAAAAGGAAGAGATATAAACTTGGCAATAGATAATGAGTCAGTATGACGATCTCAACTTTATAAATCTCAGGAGAGTTGATAATTTGAGGACAGGCAACCCTAGAAAATGCCTCTGATTCTAACTCAGGTCCATGAATCTGCCCCAGAACAGTTGAATCTAAAGGGTCTGAGGACTCAAAAGTCCTTCTTGCTCTGTGTAGTCAGTGAATCCACTTTGCTCCTGTGCCTGGAACTTCTGATCTGAATAGGAGGAAACTTGTAAAGCCACAGGGACAGATTCCCATATGTGCAGTGGCAACCCTGAGCAAAGGTGGAGGAAGCGGAATCACAACTTCTCAGGCGCGAGAGGAATAACGACACAATCGCATCCTGGCGTCAGAGCCAGAGCCCCACATTCAAGGCAGACTCTGCCCCTCCTTAGCAGTGCAGCCTTTAGCTACTATGAATCATGATGCTGTTTTCCCATTTGCTGGTGCAAGAAGCTCAGTAAATATTTGCTGTCTTGGTTCCCCAAGGCAAATCCCACTATAAGTGACACATAGCTACAGAAATCACCTGGGGGTATACAACTACATCTCTCCTCAAAAAGTATTGTATCTTCAAATGCAAAGTCAAATGAATTAGATATATTTTATGACACAAATACTTTGAGGCCAACTATTGTTTGTGTGTTGTCTGAACTGGGTATGAGTGTGGGGAAAATAGCACATACAACTAAATCCACTTGACATATCAAAAGTCTCAGCATGACGTAAACCTGATTTACTAGAATTAAATGAGTATCCTTTCCAATCAGGCAAATGCTATATTGAGATTTGGGGAAGCCCAAATTATTAAATCCAAAAAACAAACTGGCTCTTAGTCCCCCTGACACATACTTCCTCTATTGGCCCCTGACAAGTATAAGCATCATCATTCCTGCTTGACCTCGTTTGACTCCAGAATGTCCATGTGACTTTCCTTGAGGACTCTGTTTTGGTCAGTCTTTGGTCTGTACAAGGTTAAGAACCCTAACGCCACACAGCATGTAATGTCCTTGTTACATAGCAGGACATGATCATGATCAGTTATTATTTAGGACCATTATTATTTAGGACAGTTATTATTTAATTATTATTTATTCCAATCCCATGAAAAACTAACATTTTTACTGACTAAACATCCTAGAATTCAGAGAGACAAGGTGATAACAAAAGGACCCATTAATACTGAGGGGATCTGTCCTCAAGAGCTTAGGACACTGGCCATGGTGTAATAATTGCTACATTTAATTGAGTGTTTATTACATACCAAAACACTTCCAAAATTACTCCAACATATATGAGTCATTCAGCCTTCACAACTAATCCTTTAAAAACTTATTATTATAATTATCATTACTACTCTTATTATTATCATCATCTCCATTTTTCTGGAGAGAAAAACAAAGCACAGAGGAGATAAACAGTGAGTCCAAGATTGCACAGTACTTAAACCAAAACAGTCTGATGGCAAAGCCTGCATTTTTTTAGCCAAAATGTGATTCAGCCTCCACTCAAAGATGAAAGAACAGTATTTCTAGCACTTCCTAAGCCCATTCCTGTGTCACAGGCTCTGTTCCTACCTTGTGATATAAAGTGGCGCTATCTGACCTTCCTCTCACAGAGCATCCATGACCAAAAGAGTTGCAGTGATTGGAGCTGGGGTGAGCGGCCTGTCTTGCATCAAATGCTGCTTGGATGAGGACCTGGAGCCCACCTGCTTTGAGAGAAGTGATGACTTCGGGGGACTATGGAAGTTTACTGTGTGTGCCTTCCCTACACTTGTCTCCTTCATAACCTAGCCCGTTGCTCTGTTTCTGCTCAGTCAAGTGGTTCAGCTTGCCTTGGTGACTGAGTAAAGGAGTGGCTCACTGCAGCCACACAAACGTGTGCATGGTGCAGTGATGTGCACTATGCAGATGCAGGCTGATAAATGAGGAGCCAAGAGAATAGGCAGGGTGTGGTCAGGGATATGGGGAGAGAGGAAGGAGTTAAGTCTGACAGACAAGCATGGTGTTGGAAGTTTACGATGATTTCTGGACCACAGACATAATAAATCAAAGTAGCAGAGTGCTGTTTCAGTTGAGCTAAACAGCATTGGTGAATATGGAGTAGATTACACTGTAGGGAGGATGAAAGTTGGCATCAGGGAGTGGAGATCTAAACCCAAGCCTTTGACCAGGTCTTCAGGAAGAGAACTAGAGTGATGCAGGATTAACCCCAGATTATAACGTCTGGTGGGTTGGGGAAGAGCTTTGACAATATCAGAATAGAAAGAACTCAAGAACTGAGTTCAGAGAGGAGTTTTGTGTGTTCTTAAAATTAATCTTCAATATTTTAAGGAATCAAGGAAAGGAGCCAATAAGGGGGAAGGTGATTGAAAATATACATAGACAAAAATCAGAAAAAATCAGCAAGGAGTTGCCTGAGGAAAGACAGAGAAAGACATCAAGAGCATGAAGGGAGAAAGTAGCATGCTAATGAAGAAGGAAAATGATCACAGACCCTGCATTCATAAAATTAGTTAAAGGTCTCAGTCTTTGGGATACCTACTAAATTTCATTAGCTTCTCTGTGGTTTTAGGAAGATATTGTAATTAATTATTCCAATCCCACTAATGATTTCCCACCATTGTACAATGAGGACCTAATACTGAGTTTTCTGGAAGTCTTTAAAATGGCACCTAGAGGGCCGGGGATTCAGCTCAGTGATTTCATCGCCTGCCTTGCAAGCGCAAGAACCTGAGTTCGATCCCCGGCACCAAAATAAATAAATAAATAAATAAAATGGCAAGTAGAACTCTGCCCAGAAACCCTCTCAGCTGAGTTGGCACGAGCCACTCAGATCCCCCCCACTCTGTCAAGCTAACTATGCTTTCACCACAGGAAGATTCCAAAGACAGGACGACCAGGGTCTACAGATCATTAGTAACAAACGTCTGCAAGGAAATGTCATGTTATAGCGACTTTCCGTTCCAAGAAGATTTTCCCAATTTCATGAGTCATGCAAAATTTTGGGACTATCTCCAAGAATTTTCTGAGCACTTTGATCTCCTTAAATACATTCAGTTTAAGGTAAGATACTTGGGTTATGGAAGTTACTGACTGGGGCCTGAACTACACAATAACCCAGAGAAAATAGGAAGTTTAAGTAAATTCTTTCTTGATTTTTATTGGTACATGAATAAGGCAGGCAACAAAGTCACCTCATTACTCTTGCTGCTTATGTTTGACTCATAAATCGTTAACATAGTAAATTTCCAGATACCTCCTCTAAATTCTAAACTCATTGAGAATGAAATTATTTTTCTTAGAAGAAAGGGAACATAATTTTGTTTATGAAACCTATCAGGAAAAAGTGACTACAAGTGTGAACTATAGAAATTATAACAGGGTATTATATCTCATTTCCTTCTCCCTGGGAATAAAAATTGACTGCTACTTCCATTTAAATGATTCAGATATCTTGGGTTCTGGTCTATACATTACTATCTTTGAGAGTTTGCACAAGTTCCTTAACTTTTATAGGAACAAGACAAAACAATATTTATGGACCTCCTCTTGTAGGATTTGGTCTACTTTAAAAAACAGACAATGGGCCAGGGATTTAGCTCAATGGTTCCACTGCCTGCCCCGCAAGCGCAAGTTCCCGAGTTCGATCCTAGGTACCCAAAAAAAGCCTAGACAAGTACTATACCAGTCATTATATGAGGTTCAGAGGTTTTGGTAGAAAGCACGTGTTTGTCCTTTACTTGTAGACTACTGTGTGCAGTGTAACAAAGTGTCCGGACTTCTCTGAAACTGGGCAGTGGGATGTTGTCACAGAGACAGAGGGCAAGCAGAACAGAGCTGTCTTTGATGCTGTCATGGTTTGCACTGGACATTTCCTGAATCCCCATTTACCTTTGGGGTCCTTTCCTGGTGAGTCATTCCTACCTGAGACTGTGCCTACTCTTTTGGGTTCTTCTGGTAGAAAATTTACTGATTTGCAGTCGGAAATACTTTCATGTGATTATAGACAACTTTATATTCACTCTCAAAAGTAACATCTACAAAATTACAATGAAAATTACAAAACATACCTTATTATCTATTTATTTGTATTAATGTTATTGTTTAAGCTTTGTCTTGCATGTATAATTCAAGTTCAGTGATCAAATAAGACTCAAACCTCTGAGATCTGTGATAGACATAAAACATAGGTTTTGATTTTGGAGACTGAATGACAGGTCAATTGAATCCAGACTAATCAGTAATTTAGGGACTTGAAGGAAGAGAAAGTATAAGGAAGCTCAACACAGGGTTTTAGAAGGAAGGAACCCAAAAATTACACATGTAAAGGAACATATTTGTATGGATGTTAAATAAAGTGGTGAAAGTGGGAATCCTTGTCTTGTTTCTAGAATTTAAAAAGAAGCTTCAGCTTTGTTCTAATTCCATATGATGAAAACTGTGGCCTTATTATCTATGGCCACAGTTAAAATGTTCTTCTGTACCTAATTTAAGATGTTAAGATATTCTTCTATACGTAATTTGTTCAGTTTTTAATAATGAAGGCATGTTGAATTTTATCAAATGCCTTTTCTGTAACTATTTAGATGGTCATATGTATGGTTTTTATCCTTCATCTTGTTGATATGTTGTAGCACCTTTATTGATTTGCAACATTGAATCCTTGCGCTGAAATGACTCTTACTTGATGATAAAGAATAATCTTTTTAATGTGTTGTTAGATTCAGTTTGCTAGTATTTTTTTGTTGAAGATTCTTGCATCTGTGTTCATCATGGATACTAGCTTGTAGCTTTTTGTTGTTGTTGCTGTGTCCTTGTCTAGTTTTAGTATCAGATTAATGTTGACCTTATAGAATTATTTTGGAAGAATTCTCTTCAGTTTTTTTTTAAATAATTTAAGAATTGGTGGGGCTAGGAATTTAGCTTAATGGTGGCGCATCTGCCTCTCAAGCATAAGGTCCTGAGTTTGATTCCCAGTACTGGAAAAAAAAAAATTGGTATTAATTATTCTGTAAATGTTTGGTAGAATTCAGCAGTGAAGCCATTGTATCTTTTTTTTTTTTTTTTTTTTTTTGAGGCAGGGTCTCACTATGCAGTTCAGGTTGGCCTTGAACTCACTATGTAGCCTAGGCTGGCCTCAAACTCCCAGCAATCCTCCTGCCTCAGCCTCCTGAGTGCTGGGATTACAGGTGTGTACCGCCACACCCGGCTAGAACCACTGTATGTTTTGGTGACCGACTTTTCATTATTGATTCAATCTTCTCACTCATTATTGGTCTGTTCAGGTTCTCTATTACTTTACTGATTCAATCTTACAATGGTGAATGTGTCCAGAAATTTATTTATTTCAAGTTATCAAAATTGTTAATAATCCTTTGTATTTCTGTGATCAACTGTAATGTTTCCCTTTTCATCTCTGCTATTATTTGAGTCATCTCTTCTTTTTTCTCAGTATAGCTAAGGGTTGGTCAGTTTTCTGTTTTTGAAAAACCAGTCCTTCATTTCATTTATCTTTTCAGGGATTTTTTTTTTCTTTTTTTGGTACTGGGGATCGAACTCAGAACCTTGCGCTTGTGAGCCAGTCGCAGTGCCACTGAACTAAATACCCGGCCCCTTTTCAGGGATTTTTAAGTCTCCTTTTCCTTTAATTCTGCTCTGGTCTTCATTGTTTCTTTCCTCCTATTAATTTTGGGTTTGATTTGTGGTTGTTTTCTAGTTCCTTGGAGGGCAATGATATTTGTTTGAGATCTTTCCAGTTTTTGATGGAGTCATTGCTTGCTATAAAATTCTTAATCCTGCTTTTGAATAGGTTTTCCTATGCTGTACTTCTGTTTTCAATTGTTTCAACAGGTTTCTAAATTCTTTCTTAATTTATTCCTTGATCTATTGGTTGTTCAAGAGTAACTTGTTTAGTGTACATAAATTTGTATGGTTCCCAATGCTTTTCTTGTTATTTCTAACTTTATTGGATTATAGTCAGAAAAAAGATAATTGATATGATTTCAGTTTTTTGAATTTGTTGAGACTTGTTTCCTTGCCTACCATATGATTTATCCTGAATAATTTTCATGTGATGGAGAATGTGTGGCCTTTATTCAATAGAATGTTATTTAGATATTTATTACATACATCTGGTATAGGGAACAGTTTAATTCTATTGCTCTGTTGCTTTTGTGCCTGGAATATCTGTCCATTGATGAAAGAAGAAAGTCCCCTACAATTATTGTACTGGACTGCAATTTTCCAGTTAGATCTACTAATATTCACTCGATATACTTAGGTGCTCTGATATTGGGTGCATATATATGTACAGCTGTCAATTTTTCCCCCTTTTTAAGTTTTCAATGCTTATTCAGTATCTAAAAGAACATATCAAATACATATTTGAGTATGAGACTGTAGTGGCCATGGGAGAAATCATGGTTGGATATGATATTTAACATAGATGGAGTATCAAAACATAAGACTAGAAATAATCTACTTCTTTCTCAGGATGTTCATGATAGTGCGTGTGATGCTTGTTATTATCTGTAGTAAGTTAGATTTTCCACATTGATTACTTTAAAAAGAATGCATTTATACTGTGTTTTGAACAAGAAAGATTGCACTAAATCTGTACCTGGACTCACTGCATCCCAGGAGAGGAGCATCACACTTGTTCTACGTCCTACCACCAATGGCAGGGCCAGGACCAAAGGGCTGCCCTACTTCTGGTGCTTCCCTTTTCCCACTGACCCTAACCCTGCATACTGAGGAATTTCAGCTTTAAATATTCCACACTGTCTGACCCTCTCCTCCCCTTCAGGAGTCCATAAGTTTCAAGGGCAGATCCTGCACAGCCAAGAGTACAGGACCCCAGAAGCCTTCCAGGGCAAGCGCGTCTTGGTGATTGGGCTTGGGAACACGGGAGGGGACATCGCAGTGGAGCTCAGTCGAACAGCAGCTCAGGTACAGCCTTTCTGCATCAGTGCCACCTCCGTCACCATGTGTGGTGGCCGGAGACACAGATTCAAGACTGTAGAACACATTGGCCAATTGCTAAGTGATGCGGACGTCGAGTGAGTGAAAAAATCATGAAAATCCCTCAAAGCTGCTCTTGGTCTCTTTTGAACCACTTTGGAGACTACACTTTACACAGTCATACTAGCTCCAGAAAAGAGTCTGGGAACACTTTGTGAATGCCAGGCCACACAGCATTTTCCAGATGTGCTCCTTCAAGAAGAAGACTAAAGAGAAAATAGTTACAACTGGGGCCATTATCTTTCTTTTACACTCACCCTTTGTAATTTATTTTTTTTAGTCAAAAAGCTGTTTAAAAAGGAGAAGTTGTTTTCCAAATGTCTCCAAGTTTTCCATTAGAAATCAAATTTGTACTTTAACATAAAAGCAACCTTTAATTTGACCAAAAAAAGGTACATAATGAATTCAGAAAGCCCAAATATAAGTTGATAATTTATAAGTCTGTTCCACTTTAGCACAAATTAAAGGACCATAATTAGCTCCAGAAAGAGTAGATTTGTAATTAATTCAGATAAAATTGATCTTCCTAACCTTTACTTTAAATTCTATATCATCACATTAAGAATTGCCAGATCAGTACACATACCTACAAATAGTATAATTTTATGTATGTAATTCCATAAACATAATGAAAATACTTAATGTACATAAATCAAGGAAAGTGTTTTTTCAAACAATAGCGGCAGCATGTTTATTTATACATGGATCTATGAACAAATTCATAAAAATTCTCTGTTGTTAGAAGACCAGAATGTTATAAAAACATTTGAAACTCATAAAGACAAATATCACAAGGTGTGGACATGTATTTATCCTTCTTTACTTACTTTGTAGGTATTTCTTAGTACTAGGACTGGCGCCTGGGTTTACAGCCGCTCTTCAGTTGGGGGCTACCCTCGTAATATGATGTCAACAAGAAGATGCAATAATTTGATTGCACAAGTTGTGCCTTCATGTTTCCTAAACTGGATTCAAGACAGGCAAATGAATAAAAGATTTAACCATGAGAATTATGGATTAAGTATTACAAAGGGGTAAAGTTTATCTTTTATGGGAAGTTTTAATTTTTTATTAACATGTATTAATTGTACATATTAGTGGGGTCCAGTGTGATATTTCCACGTATGCACTGACCAAATCCAGCCACTTTTTTCTACACTCCCCTCACAAACACACCCTTCCCAATTTCTAATAGTCATTACTCAACTTTTAGCTTCCATATATGAGAAAGAACATGTGGTACTTGTCTTTCTGTTTCTGGCTTATTTTACTTAAGAAAATGTCCTCCAGTTCCATCTATTTTGCTGCAAATGACAGGATTTCATTTTTCTTTATGACTGAATAATGCTCCATTGTGCATATATACCACATTTTCTTTGTCCATCCTTTAATGGGCACCTACACTTATATAATAAACATAGGAATGCAGGTATCACTTGGGTATAGAGGTTTGATTTCCTTCAGATATATACCCAAAAGCAAAGTTGCTGGGTCATATGGAGATCTAGTTTTAGTTTTTTGAGAACCCTTTATACTGTTCTCCCTAATGGCTAATTTACATTCCCGCCAATAATGTATAAGAATTCTCTTTTCTCCATATCCTCATCAGAATTTGCTATTGTTATTTGCTTTCTTTTTCATGTAGCCATTCCACCTAGAGTAAGATGATATCTCACTGCAGTTTTGATTTGCATTTCTCATGAGAATTTTTGAAATCAATTTTTCTCTATTTTGTTCAGAACTCAGAATTTTCTGAAATTGTAATATTGCCTCTGTCTCTCCCATTATAAACTTCTTTCACTAGAACAGTGTCCATTCGGCAGTTCATCAAATAAGAACAATCTCTGTCCACTAACAGAAATACTAATTCATGAGACTAGAAGAAAATGAAGGATAACAGCACTCACTAACAACCTGAAAAATCAGGAAATCTAAACTGGCCTTGAGGAATCTTGAAATTGCTACCATCTAGAAATACAATGACACTGCCACACCAGTGAGTGCAGATAGTCAGCTCTCCCTAACCTATAATAAATGTTGATTTTAGCTGGGTGATTAGAAGTACTAATATATAACAAGAATTCCTGAAATTGTATATTTTAATTTAACTCTGTATAGAGTTGCAAACTGGAAAGGAAAAGGAAAACTTTGATGGATAAAAGGTCATTAAGTGTGATTTTTATTATATGCTTAACCTAAATATTCTTCAGCAAGATATATTTCAACTTACAAGAAAAATTTATGGCAAAGCATATTTGACATGTAAATTTTATAGACAGTATATCTAATGTGATTAGGTAGAATGATGCTCATAATGAAAATATTTATAGATTCAGTTTTTAAATTTTCAAAAAAATAATTTTCATTCAAAGAATTTCTTTTTAATTTCCTCCTTTCCTAATGTCATTCCTGGAGGATCCAGGTGATACAAAACCCTAAATTCATCATCAAATGCTTTGCTGTATATTCTGATCCTAACAGTTTAGGAAAAGCATTGTCCAGAATTAATTCCAGGAGAAGCATAACTGTAAATCAAGGCAGGAAAGAGTAGGGTCATTTTCTACATGCCTTTTACTGGGAGCAAGAAAACAAAATATGAACACAGGAAGTCAGGTAGACAACTTTGAATTAGACCTTGGTCAATTCATTTTCTTGACTTGGCAGACGATATCCTCAACTTAATAAATAACTTGCTAAAGTATTTCATAGATACAATAACTACAGTGAATATGTTTTTCTTCTGTGTCAAAGGAAGAAGAAGAAAGCTATTGTGAATGACGAGCTGCCAAGCTGCATTCTCTGTGGGACAATCACTGTGAAAACCAGCGTGAAGGAGTTCACAGAGACCTCTGCTGTCTTTGAAGATGGGACAGTAGAAGCAAACATCGATATTGTGATCTTCACTACAGGATATACATTTTCTTTTCCCTTTCTTGAAGAACCTCTCAAAAGTCTTTGTACAAAAAAGATGTTCCTATACAAGCGGGTCTTTCCCCCAAACCTGCAAAAAATGACGTTCGCCATCATTGGCCTGATCAGCCTCACTGGGTCCATCTTAGCAGCCACAGAGCTCCAAGCACGGTGGGCCACAAGAGTCTTCAAAGGTAACTTGACTCTAATGAGAGCTCTGTCAGGTCAACTGAGTTTTAACATCAGTGTCCTGCCATTTAGCTACAACCAAACAGATGTGAGCTATAGTAATATAAACTATCAGGGAAATTTAATGAACAATTAAGGATTTGTATATTATTATAATGTGGGCAAATGTCACTCCATCTGACTTAGCAGAAGAGATTTTTTTATTCTATAGAGGAGATAAATGTGGACAACACAGTGTAATCAAGTTTCTCAAATAACTGAGTATATTAGCAGCTTCAAGATCCTGTTCTGCTCTAGTCTAGTTTGCTTACTCCAAAGCCTTTCCATTTATTGCTACTAGTAGAACTTTATTTTGCTTCTAAAACAAGATATTGGGAAAATGCATAGTGTGAATAAAATTTATATATGAACAGACAGAAACCTTTAAAAGAAATGCACATAAAAATATTTCAGACACTGGACACTACATGTTGTCAATTATTACTGTAAGACCCCCTTTGACACTCATTAACTTTGTGAGGACCTCATTAAATCTCAGTTGCTTCAATGCAGGATGAGGATGATAAACCCTCTATCTTAAAAATTTTGTAAAACAGATAATGTCTGCAAATCAAATAGGAAAGTACTGAGACATAGTAAATGCTCAAAAAGTGATCCTGTTGCTTTTACTATTGCCATTCCTGTCATACTTTCTAAATTAGGGCACATTTTTGATTAGGAAGTATTTTAAAGAATTGCACGTATATTATTTTTAAATATAAACAGCATTCAAAATTGAGCCAACCAGCTGGCTTCAATGAATAGAAGTAATCACCAATAACTTATAAATAACATTAAGACAGTATTAAGTAGTGTTGAATTTTATCCCACTGAACAAATGTATTAGATATCAACTGTACTTAAAAATCTATGTTCTCCTACATTCGCAAACATACTATTTGAATATTTGAAAACATACTATTTGAATGTAAAGGGGAGAGGAAGTACTTAGGAGCTCCTCCTAAATTTAGGAGCTCCTCGGTTTATTTACATTACAGAAAAAAATTATCACCCCTTCATTATCAGAAATTTGTATTTCCTTAAGGCCAATTACAGTGCTTTCACGACACTCTCCTGTTATCTTAAATTCACAGAAGACTCCTAAGTACCTGGCTTTTGTAAGTGTTTTATAACGAGCTCCAACATGTTTATTAGAATGATAAAGCTGACAAAAAAAACTTGAGTAAATCACACCACATGAGTAATTGCAGGCCTCACCAAAGACCTTCTAAAGAGGCACTGCAGGAACCTCCCAGTCTTGCTAGGTTTTTACAGGACAAAGGGACCCTAGTCAGAAGTACATCCCGGCCTATCCCCTGTGGATAATAAACCCATGCCTGGAGTTGTCAGATGGTACCTGGCAAGGCAAGACTTGGCAGACTGGGATAGTGAACACAGTGGACTGGCAAGGTGGCCCAGGGTAGGTAGGGGAATTAGGAGGACAGGGTTCACATTATAAGAGGGGGTGTGGAAGTGCCAGGAACCCAGAGGACAGAATGGAATTTTAAACTCTGGGGCAGCTGGGCAACTGCAGAGAACGGCCAAAGTCCAATCTGTTAAGAAAAAGAACAAAGTTTAGGATTTATAAAAGCAAAAGCCAAGCACTGAGACTATCCAGATGGGAGATTTAGAACAAATGGGTGCTCACAGCATGACTCGAAGGACAGAGCCCCTATAAGACCCAGGCCCCTTCAACATGAGGCCCCTCACAGAGCACAACTGAAGATGTGCCAAAGAGAGTTACAAAATGCGGTCACTTTAAGTGCTTCCATTTAAGCAACTAACAGCTTCACACACATACACCCACAGGTTCGATGTGGGGATGTGTATATGTATGCTCTGCATGTGTGCATGTGTGTATGTGGGAGAGAACATGACAGCAGACAGGGAGGGAGAGGCCAGGCCAGCTGCCAGAGCAGGTGCTGATGTCTGGCGCATTGGGCACAGGCTGAGGGCTGGGCCTCTGTGCATCCATCTCACAATCTGGCAGTAGCATTCCCTGGTTAAGTGAGTTAGGATGGGAGTTTTGCCTTTAGAAAATTAACTGTGCACTCCAGTTCCACTCTAAGCTTTGTTCTGAGCTCAGAGCAGTAAGAGACCAGAAATGAGAAGATGGAGAGCATAATAAAGGAAACCTAAATAAGGGAGAAACGATGTAGAACTTTGTGTTTCTGATTTTTCTCATAGGACTCTGTAAAATACCTCCAGCCCAGAAATTGATGGCCGAGGTGGTTAGAAAGCAGCACCTCATTAAAAGGTATGACATATAGCATGTTACAGAGAACACTTAGCAACAAATTTTACCAAAAAAAGAAAACAGGAATTCTCAATATAAAAGCCATTCCCAGAAAAGCGTTATGGAAGTTGGAAACAACTCTACACAGAGTCAGAACATATTTTTGGTCCTAACTCTGTCACCAGTTAGGCTTTAGGCACATCATAGGAGAAACCAGACCTCAGTGGGACACAGAGCATAGCCCCTTACAGATGACAATCCTGCCTTCATGTGACCCCCAGAAATCCATTCTGACTGTCCTCCTTCATCTCTCTTAATCAGTGTTGGTTTGAAATCTACTTGATCTGCAAAGAGGATAGCTACTCCTGCTTTTTTTCGGGTTCCTGTCACATGGAGTATTGTTTTCCACCCTTTAACTTTCAGTCTATGAGTTTCCTTTTGAATTAAGTGTGTTTCTTGTATGCAGCATATTGTTGGATTTTGCTTCTTGACCCATTCTGCCACTCTATTTCTTTTGATTGGTGAATTGAGACCATTAACATTGATAGTTATAACTGAAATGTATTGACTTGTCATTGCCATGACTTTTTCTTTTTGTTGGGTTCTCCCCCTTTACATTTAATTTCTTGTCATGCCAGATGGGTTCATTCTGCTTTGCTTCCTGGGGTTGTGATCCTCAATGTCTGTTCCTAGGATATTGTGTAAAATTCTTTGGAGTGCTGGTTTGGTATTCACAAAGTTCCTAAGGTGCTCTTTCTCATGAAAGTATCTTATTTCTCCATCCATTTTGAAAGATAATTTTGCAGGGTACATCAATCTGGGTTGGAGGCTGTTTTCTTTTAGAGCTTGGAATATGTCACTCCAAGCTCTTCTTGCCTTGATGGTTTGTGTTGAGAAGTCTGCTGTGATTCTGATGGGCTTTCCTTTGCATGTGATTTGTTTCTTTTCTCTGACTGCTTGGAGAACTTTGTTCTTCTGTTGAGTTTCTGGAATCTTAACAATTATATGCCTATGTGTAGATTTTTTTTGATCAAGGCTATTTGGAGTCCTATATGCCTCACTTATCTGTATGTCAAGCTCTTTTCCCCTGCTTGGGAAGTTTTCTGCCATTATTTCTGTGAAGAGATCTTTTATGTCATCTGCACGCTCTCCTGTTTCTTCATTGACTCCAATCAGTCTTATGTTATTCTTCTTTGCATCATCTAGCAGCTGCTGGATTGATTTCTCATGTTCCCTTATAATTTTGAAGCAATTTTTCTTTTCCTGGTCACTAATTGCAATCTTATCTTCTATATCTGAAATTCTGTCCTCACATTGGCTCATTCTGCTGTGTAGACTTTCAGTGGAGTTTTTCATGTCCTGGAAATCTATTTGCATCTGTTTTATGGATTCCATTTGTTTCCTATGTTGGGATTCCATCATGTTCCTGAGCTCCTCTCTAGATTTATTAATCATGTCTTGCACTAGGGGCACAATTTCTCCTGTTATCTGAGAAATTATTTCTGCTTTCATATTTTCCAGATCCCCTTTTGTTGCCAGTTCAGTAGGTCCAGGTGGTTGAATATCAGAGTGTTCCATCTCATTTCCCCTTGGGGTTGCTGTAGGTGATCTGGGAATCTGGTTTTGAGACTTATTTACGTGTTTTCTCATTTTGACTGGGGGGGGGGGGCTGTTGGCACCTGCACGGATTACCTCCTCTGAGCTGGGAGAGGTGGAACAGGCCAGGAGCAGTGGTAGAGATGGTGGCCCAAAAGCCCTTTCTTGTGGGCTGGGAGCAGCGGGAGGGATGGTGGCTGGGAAGCCCCTTCCTCTGGTCCAGGAGCAGTGGGATGGCAGCTCAGAAGCCCCTACCTCTGGGCTGGGTGCAGTGGGAGGGATGGTGGCCCAGAAGCCCCTTCCTCTGGGCCAAGAGCATCAGGACAGAAGGTGGCCCCAAACCCCTTTCCTCTGGGCTGGGAGCAGCGGGAGGGATGGTTGCTGGGAAGCCCCTTCCTCTGGACCAGGAGCAGTGGGACAGCGGCTCAGAAGCCCCTACCTCTGGGCCAGGAGCAGCGGGACTCAATAACATGGTCTAGTGGTCCGGTGTCCTCTGCGTCTTTGTAGTGTGGCACCAGGTGGCTGTACAGAGGAGTGGGGCGTGGGGGGTCCAGTGGATTGTTGCCGGGGCGCGGGCTGATTCCATTCTGACTGTCCTCTTCCACCTCTAAGTCTGATCTTTGTCTGTATTTCCTGGTATCTCCTCTTCCTCACTCCTAAAACTTGGTGAGACCGTCTTTGCTCTCAGGTCTGGTTACACTCACACCTACATGGCTTCGTCCAGGCCTATGGCTCTAATACTATCACATACTTGTGGCTCTCAAACTTGTGTCGCTATCCCAAATCTTCCAACAAAGATCCAGACTTCTACTCCAACTCTCTCTAGATATCTCCACATAGATCTGTAATAGGTATCTCAAATTTAACACTCCTAAAAATGAGCTTGCTTTCTTTTCTTTTCTTTCTTTCTTTCTTTCTCTCTTTCTTTCTTTCTTTTCTTTCTCTTCTTTCCTTTTCTTTCCTTTTCTTTCCTTTTCTTTCCTTTTCTCTTCTCTTCTCTTCTTTTCTTTTGATGGAATCTCACTGTTTTCCCAGGCTAGCTTTGAACTAGACTCAAGTGATCCTCCTGCTTGATTCTCCTGATTACCTGGGACTACAAGCACATGCTTAGTCAAAAACACAAACTCTAATGCCCTCTTTCATCTCAACTAGTCTGAGATTTTTTTCCCCGCTGCAGTTAGCAGCTACTTATTCCTTTTCTTTCCTTTTCCTCCAGACCCCATATCAGCAAATACTGTGAGCTCCTACCTTCCAAATAAATCCAGAATTCAAACAGTTCTCATGACCCTGCTGCTATCACCTGAGACTGGGCTATCAGGACTCTTGTCTATCTCCCACTTTCCACTCTGCCCTTTGGCACAACCACGAGGGCGAGCTGCACCGTGTCGCTCCCTGTTCAAAGCCCTGTGGTGGCATCACATTATCTCTCAGGAGCTCCCTACAGCCTCTTCAGCTCCAAGGGCACCCAGCCTCCATGTGCCCACATCACCCTCATCACCTGCTGTTCTCCACTCACCCACACTGCCTCGGGCGCTCCAGCCTCTGCGCTCTTCCTCATTCAGGCCAAGCATCACCCTTAGGGCCTCTGCACTTGCGTGCTCACGCTACTCAGACATCACCCCTGAGAGCTTTTCTTGATGACATTATAGAAAAGGGGAACTGACCCAGCCCTGATGACCTGCCTTTACATCTCTCATACCACCTGATGCATTGATCACCTGATACATATCTATTTGGGCTTTTCAGAGTCTGTTGCTTTCCCCCATTAGAGTAAACTCTGACAGCAAGGACAACTCTGCTTTGTTCACTATTGGAAACTGGTGCCTAGAATGGCCCAAAATGTTTTGTTTGTTTGTTCCTTTATTTATTGAATGACTTTAAGACACCAAGAAAATTTATTAAAAGGTATACTTATGAATAAAGTCTTCACACACACTATGCTCATATCTGTGTCAACTTTACTCCTACATGACTCACAATTAACATCAGGTTCAAAATGCAGGTGTCCACATGTGTGATCCTTTCTGATCCTGTTCATTCATCAACAACTTCTGTACTTGGATTGATCAGATTTAATCCTCGAATCAGATTTGAAAATTGAAAATTTCTCTTCCAATTGCCTCCTTTTACCACCTCCTTTCACAAATTAATTCCCCCCACATATACCCTCTATGAGTAATTCCTTTTCTTTTTTCTTCCCAACACAAAAACACATTCCCAAACATGGTTTGATTGTGAAAATGAAGCAACACACTGGTGGGGAAGGGTGGACCTTATAACTTGAGAAATGCAGGGCAGGGAGTGATTGATAAAACTCATCCATTTTCTTTCCTCACAGGGGTGTGATTAAGGATACCAGTCAAGACAAACTCAACTACATCAGCTACATGGATGAGCTTGCTGCATGCATAGGCGCAAGGCCCAACATCCTGTTTCTGTTCCTCAAGGACCCCAGACTAGCTTGGCAAGTTTTCTTTGGACCATGTACCCCTTACCAGTACCGCCTAGTGGGCCCTGGAAAATGGGATGGAGCCAGAAACGCCATCCTGACCCAGTGGGACAGGACTATGAAACCTTTAAAAACCCGAACTGTTGCTGATTCCCCCCAGCCTGCCTCCATGTCACATTATTTTAAAGTTTGGGGGGCACCTATCCTATGTGCCTCTCTTCTACTTATCGGTAAATCTTTACTCTTTAAATCTGTGTGAGATAAACTCTAAGATAGCATTTTTCTGTACTACAGTCTTTTAACTTTCAAAATACAGATGATGAATTCTCAGATAAGGAAGTCTCCTTGTGATTGCTAACTCACAGGTCTTCTACCTTATGTACTCTTCTAAGGCACAAATAGAAAGTAGCCTGACTCAAAGGCAGTTCATTGAATAGAACTGAGTTTCCTTAGGCCAACAAGCTTCCTAAAATCTCCTAGATTCATTAGATTCATTAGGTTCTCAGAATAATCTGATGCTTATAGCTATGGGACAGGTCTTTGGGCTGTCAGAAACTTTGGTGCCTGTTCCTCTGCAAACTAGAAATGCATCAATTCCCCAAATCAGCAGAAGCAACGAAAGAACCCTGATTAATGTTTATTGAAGGTAATTTCCTTATATTCCAAAATTTCTAACCTACTCAGTAGAGAGTAAACTCTTACCTTTACAAGTAACATTCAAAGTAGGTGACCACCCTGACAGTAGTGTTTATAGTTGTGGGCAGTCCTTGTGGTCTCTGCCTCTCTCTCTCTCTCTCTCTCTCTCTCTCTCTCTCTCTCTCTCTCTCTCTCTCATGCGTGTGTGTGTGAAATGGACCTGTCTGTCTTCGGATCCTGTGTATTTCCCTTCCCAGTGCACTCTTCCTGGCATTTCTCCACCCTTACCTCGAACTGCTTCTGTGTCTGGGCAGGTGCAGTGATTATCTGCCTGGTAAATCTGGGGAGATTAACTGCTCCCAAACATTTCACTGTCATTCTTGTGGGCACAAGCTTGCCCACAGGATGCACACACTTGGCTGCAGGCACAGGATGAGGAAGTCTCCTAACTCTGAGGTTTAGCTAGCAGACCCATATATTTTATCTTGACCTCTGTCAGTAATAAAAACGAATATTCTTGACTCAGTCCTTATTCTGCTTTATCTTACAAGTTGGCCAAAACCCAGGCTAGAAAGACAGATACTGTTCAGGGAACAAGAACTGTCAGAGACCCCAACACTATATACTAGTAACTTGTCATTCAGTTGTACCTCTAATTCCCACTCCCCAGCTTTCCCATTGAGAGCATATTCTTTTTTTTTTTTAACTTGTGTCCAGGAGTTTTATTTATAGCTGCCATTCTAAAAATACTACTGTTAGAAAGTATCTTTCATTATAATTTCAGGATATAAAAAGGCATATAAAAGTTATAATCCTATATATCTGAGAAAAATTCTGAATTAAAAAAAATGGTAGTTTTCCATTCCCATTTTGATATAAAACAGCAGCTTCTAGAATGGCCAACTGTCACTGCCTGAGTGGGGAGGCACGTGGGAGACCAGCAGATGCCCACAGGGAATCTCCCTCCACTGCTTCTGAAGCCAGGGGGCAACAGGAGGAAACACAGCTGACCATGATCCAAGCCACATACAGCACAGGAGTCAGGGTGTACAACTGGGGCCCCAGCTGGTTCTAGGGACCAGTGCAGCCTGAGAAGGTGCTTCCCCTGTGTCGTGTTGGGGCAGCCACCAGTCACATCTGCTGAGTGGTTTGGGTCCTTAGTTTACCTACTGGGACAGGACAACTCTATTTCTTATTGGCAATCCTCCTTTTCCTCATTGCCAACATATCATAGAAAGGATCCCTACTGATGCTTGCTTTGATGGATTTCATCCACTCCTCCTTCTCCTCAGGGCTTGGGGCAGAGATGTGATACACCACGTGATTTCCCTCCACCACTGGCCATCAGCCTCTGTCTTGCAGGCTTTGATGACCTGCCCTTTGTGGCTGGGATTGTAAAGCTCAAAGCAGTTAGGTTTCTGTGGGTCTTCCACCTCTCTGATGCTGAGGTTTTCCAGTGGGATGATACCTCCAGGCTCCTTGTCTGTGGTGTACTCAAAGTAGTAGAGGCAGTTGTTGGTCAGGATGAACCAGCGCCACTTCCAGGTCTTCACATGCCCTCCCAGCTTCAGGAGCCAGCCTTCCTGGTCCGGGTTAAAGAACGTGTGTGTCAGGTCGTTCCCATCATCCTCTGGGATTTTAAATGGTTCATTCTTAATACTTTCCTATAAGTTCCTCAGCAGCTCCTCAGGGAGGTCTCCCCCCTCATTGATGCCATGGTTCATGGTGATGAACTACTCCACAGTGGTCTTGTCACGTACGTTGTGGTTGTGCAGGCTGGTGTTGAGCATGATGATGGTGAACGACAACACATAACATGTGTCTGTAGACTGGAAGACACCCAGGTTGCACAGGCAGTAGCGTGAAGCAAAGGTCTCCATCATTCGATCTATCTTCTGAGCCTCTCCAGGCAATCTGAAGCGCCATAGAAATTGCCTTAAGGCTTGTACGAAGTTGAGATCAGCAAACTCATGGAGTTCGACAAAAGCTTGAAGAACTTTGATATTAAATTCATCCCTCTCACCCAGGTAGTCCCCACTGACAGTCTTATTTAGGCCTTCTCCTTTATAGAGGAACTGGGCAACATCTTCTGGGGAACTCTGTAGCAGGTCATTTTCTATTAGAAACTGAATTCCCTTTTTGGGGTCCATGTTGAATTTCTTTCTTCCCATGGCTATTTGCTTGTTCCTCTGAGTAGTTTTGATTTACATTCTACCTCTCCTCCACTGAAGTTAGGTTATCGATCTCTGTCATCACTTCTGCAATTTCGTATTTCAGCCTCTCAATGTCATCAATAAGTTCCTTTTTTCTTCGACGAATGTCCAAAAGTTCTTCTCTCTCTTCTAATGAGAGGCCTTCAGGCAATGGAGCTCTGCCACAGGTGATGAAGTGATAGGGTGCAGCTTGGTGGGGAGCACTTGCCTAGCATGCAGAAGGCCGCCACTGCCCTCGCCGCTGTCTTCGTCCATCTTGAAGCCACTCTCGCTTCCCGAGAGCCGGGGCCGGCGGGCAAGGAGCCAGGTCGGGGGGCGCCATCCGAGGCGAGACGCGCGGGTGACCGGTCGGCTCCTCAGCTCGCGGCCCCTGAAAGCATATTCTTTATGAGTAGATCATCGGCATGCTCAGTAAAGGGGTTGGAGGTATAGTTCAGCAGCAGAACACATGCTTAGCATGTACGAGACACTACGTTTAGTCCCCAGCATGTACACACACACACACACACACACACACACACACACACAGAATGCCCAATAAAAACTTTTATTGCCTTTTAATGCCCTTTTTAAAATTCCTTTTTTGGGGCCAGGGATTTAGCTCAGTGGTTTTGCTACCTGCTGTGCAAGCGCAAGGACCAATTTCGATCCCCGGTACAAAAAAAAAAAAAATTCCTTATTTTCTACATTCCTTTTATATGTTGGCTTGCTATTTTGCCAGCTCCCTACCCCTAAAAGTTGTCTACATACATTAGGCAACAACTTGGCTCACTCTCTCCATGTGGACTCTACCTTGGAAACACAGATCAGCTAGCAGTAAAAGCTGACAGAAAACACTTCGATTCTACTCTAATCCAAGCTCCCATTACCTTTCATGTAAATATTGCATGTGGGTCTCCCCACTTCTATTCTTACCAGCCTCTACCCATTTATTTTCCACAACAAAAAAAATCCTTTCATATTACATTACATCCTACTTCAAACTTTACCATTTTCTTTCTTTCTTTTTGGTACCGGGGATTGAACTCAGGACCTTGCACTCGTGAAGCAAGCATACCATTTTATTTCTAATAACATCCAAGTTCACCATATGGGCTTCTGCTTCATTTGGTTCTATCTCATGTCTCACTCCCCCTGAATTTTTACTCCTATTCACCTGTATTGGTCATTCTTTGATTCTTTTTACATATGATGGGTTCCTTTTTCATCATTTTGGACTCATATTAAAAGTCTCCTCCTTAGAGGGATCTTCTCTTATGACCAACCCCAGTTATGCAACTATCATTGTATGTATTTGTTTTCTTCTTAGCACTTTACATTATGGAATTGCCCATATGTTTTTTTGTTAACGTTGTTATTTATTCTATCCTCCACTTGACTTAAACTCTATAAGTATAAGAAATTATCTGTTTTATTCACCAATATTCCTAGTTAGGTTCCTAACAGTGTCAGGCACATAGAAAACCATCAGTAAGTATTTATTAAAGGAAAAAGTAAATGAATGAATAGTGTATCATTTTTTACTCAGAGGGTCTACCTACCTCCTAAAATTGACATTTTTATTGTGATTTCCAAGACATGTACATGTTCTAAAGAAACATTCCAAAAGTCTTTCCCTGGAGTATACTGGTGTAATTCTAAATCACTCCCTTTATCTGGCCTTCAGGTCTTCTAGTTGACTTCCTAATCAGTATAGATCCTTTTTATGGAATCCATAATGGTTATAAATGTGTGCCACTCAGTGCCTTAGCTGACTGATCCTTTACTCTGCATGGATAGCAAAGATACCAGTAACTGATCAACCAAAGATATGAAGTCCAACAGAAATAATGTTTAATGCGTCAGGCTGGCATAGGGAAAACAATTATCTTTTCAAACATAGAGGCCATGTAAAAAAAGTAGTAGTTGGACATAGACCTATTATGTGAATTACTCAGATATATATCTTTTTATAAGTACCACCAATACTGAAATCTAAGAAACCTTAGTTTCTACATCTGTAGTTTCTACATCTTAGTTTCTACATTCTACATCTGTATAATCTTTATATTCCTCTAAATTTATCTGCATCTTCATGTGAGTGTTTCAATGCACTGTACTTACTCAATTTATATTCATAAGTATCTCTTCTTGTGATGTCCTTAAGATCAGCACTGTCTATCACTGTCTTTTTTTACTCCTTTATTCTATCTTCATCCAAGATTTCTGTTTATTCATTTCCAGCTGCAACTATGTATCCTTTCACTCTTTCCCCCTTAATGGAATCCAGCTGACCAAGACCATGAAATGAGGGAAGAAATTTTCATAAACTCTTGACGTGGCCTAATAATCTATAAAGATTTATCACATTGTACTGCTGCACTTACATTATTACTGTCTGCCACTGGATAATCCAGGAAATAGACTTCCTTGCTTTACTCTCCTGAGCTAGCTTTTTCTCCAGCTGTCTGTTCATGGCCTTCTACTGTGTGTGTATGTGTAAATGTCCTCTTACATGTTTGATGTCTTAACTAAATCAGTGATATTAAATTGTTGCCAAATTTTCCCTCTTTCAATTTGAGGACCTAATTTTCAATGTGGACAATCCTCACTTATCTACAGCAAGTTTTTGTTCTCTTCCACTCTGACCGTCTGAGATGTGTGCTTCGTATGTTTCCAAGTGATTATCAAATGTTTAGAGAGTGGTCCCAAGTCCCCTGTTCTGAGGAAATGTTCATGCTTGCCCTTAGGTATCACTGATGCAGTACTGCTGAGATGGAAGGGAAGCAACAACTCTTGCTGATAAGATCTGAATTCCCAATTCCCTCTAAAATCCTTTCCTTGATGAGTCATATATGCCTGGGCCACCCGGGACTCTCCCCATTTCACCTGTTTTTGCCTTCTCCAGCTTACGGGTAGGTCTACTGCTCTGCCATTCCCCCTCTTGCATGCAGGTGCCTTCCCTTTCTTGGTTTCTTGACTGAAGTAGTAAGTCTATGACCTACTTTCATCAAGACCACTGGGTGGATGATTTGAAATACAGAGCCCTGATCTTCTGTCCTGGTTGTCCTAAAAACTCCATATTTTAACAGTTTCCAAATGATACCCATATACATTCTCACCATGTGCCAAACATTGTTCTAAGCGCTTTGCCCACAATTAACTTAATCTTCACAACAACCATTATTATTACTCACCTCATTTTACAGAAAAGAAAATTGAGGTCAAGGTCACACAGCTACTAATGGCTAGAACCAGAGTTCAAACTGGAGTAGATCTTCACTCCAAACGTTTACATAGTATGTACTCCAGGCTGACGCTGAGCTCGGTATGTAGCCCAGGCTGGCCTTGAACTTGCCACCCTTCTCACTTAGCCTCCTGAGTGCTGGGACTACAGGGATATACTGGCACTCCCAGCCAGAAGTAAAACACTTTCCAATGCCTGGACACCACAACACAGGGGCAAATTTCCTCAGTGGTGTCATCTGACTCCCGATGACTAAACGTCACTTGGTCCTTGAGGGCTGAGTTCCACTGGGAAATAGACATTCCAATGCTAGCTGGTGCTTCAGGTGAGAGTGAGCTTACCACACACACAGTGTGCTGCAGAAGTAGGCCTCTGTGGTGAATACAGTTCTCTAAGATCTACTTTGGCATTTGGGTCCACGTAGCAATTTCATTTTCTTTCCCATATGTTTCATACCGTTACTGATCCACAATGCCTTCTGCCCAAAAACAGATGGCTAAACTCTCCTGGGGAAATAATCTTCATTTGTAACTAGAAATATTTTCCCATAATCAGAATTAGCAACTCCACTACCTAAAGATAAATTTTTTTCTGAGTATATTTTAAAATATATAATCAATTCAAATGTATGAAATATTATTCTTATTAATTAAGAACCTAAGAGGTCTCCCTATTTATAGCTCCCTTTGCAGTGTGTGTCAACTGATGATAAAAATCTGGGAGAAAAGAAGTCCGAAGTTTAAATAGGCTGAAGCTGTAGCTCAATGGCACAGTGAATGCCTAACATGTATAAAGGTCTGGGTTCAAGCTCCAGCATCGCAGCAACAACAACAAAAGCTTAAATAAATAATGACATGAAAGGTCTATTAAGTATGCATACAAGTCACCTAAGTAAAAAGGTAAAGATGAATCATCACCTTCATGAGTTTTTTTTTTAAATATGGCATCTGGCACTTCAAAATTCTTTCTGCTTTTAAGTGATATAAATAGGACACACATGTGTAAATACCGAATAGTTTCTCTGGTGTGAGAAACTGAAAGTGTAAATAAGGACTAAATGTATAATAGGTAATGTGAAATAGGAAGAAAAGGGGCAAAGGGGAAGGAAGTCGGAGGGCTAGGGGAAAGGACAGAAGGGAATGGGATTAATATGAGAAAATGGAAAAATAGGAACAAAATCTTTGTAAATAGGGAGGACTGGAGGGGTTGAAGGGAGGGCTGGGCAAGGATGAAAAATAAGAACCAAGAGAGACTATGTAAAGGTGCAAATTTCCAATGATGAATGTCATTATATTGTATACCTAAAATGTACCAATGATTAGAACGAAAAATTGATAATGTAAAATAGGAAGAAAAGGTCCAAAGGGGTAGGGGTAGTGGGAGGGGCAGGGGAAAGGAAAGAAGGGAAAGGAAAAAATGATGAGAAATGGAAAAAATGGAAATAAAGTCTTTGTAAATAGGGAAGGGTGGAGGGCATAAAGGGAGGGCTAGGAATGGGGAAAAAATAAGAACCAAGATGCATTATATAAAGGTACAATTTCCAATGAGAAATGTAATTGTGTTGTATACCTACAATGTACCAATAAAATAATTTAATACAAAAAAAAAATTCTTTCTGGAAGATTTTTGGATTTTAAATCATTTGGCAAAAGTATAAGCAATCTTTGCCCTGCAGGCTGTATGCTCCCAACCTAAACTTGAAATGCAGCTTAGGATCCAATTTTAGGAACCCTTTAATCCTAATTATGGAGAAATAAATTTCACCTAGAAAAATTCAGCTCAGCCTTAACTGACCATAACTGATCAGGCCTTGCTGACAGGGAAGGGCCAAGTAAGTGCAGGAGGCTGACCTGAGGTGTGCTTGATCCTTGGGGTGGAGGCGGAGATAACTGGAAAAATCCAGTCTGGGCAGATCTGGGGCATTCATAAGGGACCATGTTTCAAACAGAAGCTGAAGCAGTTTCTCTGAGAGCAACAGCTATGAGTCTTTCCACTTCCCTGGTTAAGAATGTAACACAACTGGGGAGGTAGCTCAGTGATACAGCACATCCCTAGCAGGCAGTGCCCTGGGTTCAATTCCCAGCAAAGATGATCCATAAGCCCATAATATTCCCTAAGCATTATTATAATAATGCTATCTTCTA